TCAGGGATATTATGGCAAATTATGCAGACATCATCTTTACAAACAGTGATGAAGCCAGAGCCTTTTGCCGTTCTCCCTCAAACGAAGTCCCTGTTTGTGCCGCGAGGTACCTAAGCCATTTTGTTCCGTTTGTCTCGGTCACAGATGGCCCTAAAGGTTCGTATATCGGTGTAAAAGGAGAAGCTATTTATATCCCCCCATCGCCATGTGTACCTGTCGATACTTGTGGAGCTGGAGATGCCTATGCATCTGGCATATTGTATGGTTTATTACGAGGTGTGTCTGATTTGAGAGGTATGGGCACCTTAGCTTCTAAGGTTGCATCCACAGTTGTTGCACAACAAGGGACACGGTTGAGAGTTCAAGATGCTGTCGAGTTAGCTGAATCGTTTTCGCTCCATCATGAAAGTTCCACCATGTGATCTGTTGTTTATCGGATACTTTAGTTGTAGTTTTATTGAACTGTGTGTACCATAATTAGTTGTAGCTGGTTCTATGCATACCGACTGAAGACATCATCATTATTAATTATATACTGTGTATACCGCCGACTGATGAACCATATTTCGTGGAAGCATGTATATAACCGGAGAGGTGTATCTTCTTATTGTGTTATATATGCTAAAAGAGATGTTAGACAACTTCTGATTCAAATGAATGTTCATTAACTTATACTCTGGATAGTTTGATGTACATTGTTGAATTTTTATGTTGTTCTGGGATGGGACAAAACAAGACATTATTTTAGAATTAGGTTATTTTTTTCCAGAATTAGGTTATTTTCTTAGTCATGTTATGAGGTAAAGATGGTGAAAAAAATCATAGCTACACTTCATTGCATAATATTTGCACATTACAAAAAGTTAGCTCACAACATGTAACTGTATTACACAATAACACAACAAATTTGGATAACAAAATGAGAAGACGTAAGGCACTTCCAACCATTCAAGAGTGCTTGAACGAAGATGATCCTCAATCAACGTCCTATTTGATTGAGATTGCACGTCGCATGAGAAATCTCTCACCTGATGTGATGGGCAGCGGTTGCAGAGGGAAAAACTACTCTTCTCTTCTCTTTCCTAAGATCGACACGCAGCTTTGGGGACTTGGCCTTCGTTGCTTCTTTAACAGACCTGCTTGTGGAGGGAGATGAAAAGATGGGGACAAAAAAGAAGATATTAGGAAAGGCAGCTGGTAGAATAAATGGTGAAGAAACTGAATTTGTTTGTTCTTTTAAGACGTACTTTTGCGGTAAGAAAGGATGTTCGAAGTTAGGCACGGGTCTTGCATGTGGGACCAATGTCCTCCGCAGCTGTTTCAAGGCCTTCTCCTCCTCCATCTTTAATAATGAGTGTAAGAATTAATATTAATACAATGAATATTGAAGCTAAATGATTTAAATGAAGAAAGTTAAAGAATATATGTGTGGATGCGCATGCATATATTTGTGCTTACCATCCTTGCAGAATCTTCCTCCTCTCTGTATCTCTTGTAAGCCATTTCTTTCTCCTTAATCTGTGAGGCAGATTTTCGTAAAGATTTTTTCGAACAGCAAAGGAACGTCTGAATTCTGTGGAGGAGTAAGGGGCTTCAACAAATTGAAAAAAAAAAAAAAAGGAAAACAAAATGACCTTTTTATCAAATTCTGCTCTATCAGCAGCCCTGTGCTCGACATGCAGATTGAATTCCTGAACTTCCGTTAGGGGCTTTCGTTCTCTCACAGGAACTGGAATAGGGTCCCTGATATACACGAGTTGTTTTGAATATCGATAAATAAGTGTAAAACCACTCTGAAGCAATCAAAATATTGGAAATCATGAAAAGAGTCAACTTGACGTACTCGTTCAAGATAGGTTGTGCTTTGAATTTTCGCATCTCAGCTTCTTCCATCTCCATCCTCCTCCTCTGTTCCATTTCTCTCTGCATCTCCTCTTCGTGCCTCAGCAAGCTTTCCAGCTGAAAAGGTTCCGGTTTTGTGCATGGCTTTGGCTCTGGCTTTGGTGGAATCTAAAGAAAAGAGTAGTATGTCAAGTCTAGCAGTGTATGTAATAAATTTTTGTTTTTTTTTTTGGGGTCATAAGTACATACCACAGGGTAGTCAGTTGTGTAAGGATATGGGTGAGCTTTTGGTATTCTGGCTCTCTCTTCTTCTTGCTGTTTCTGTAAGAGTTCCTCGGCTATTCTTTTTTCCTTCTGTGCCCCTCTTTCCTGAAAATATTAAGAAAGACGTTTTCAAAATAGAACATGGTGTGTTCTCAAATAAAAAAATCAATTTGTGCTGAGAAAGATCTCGTATATACCTCGGTGTGGAGATGGAACGGATTTGGTGTGGTATTTCTAGGAAGAGGCTTCTCCTGATGTGATTGTGAGTTTATTGAGAGCTGAATGCAGCAGGAAAAAGAGTTTATTTTATTTTTTTCAGTTAAATTATGAATATAACAAATGTAAAGTAAATTGAGAGAGACAACAAACAGTCATGATCAATTTACCTTATCAAATAAATCTGCAACAGCAACTGGTGGTGGGATTCTTTTATCTATGGCAAAGTGAAATTCCTCAGGAATAGTGATCGGCTTTTTCATATGAGAAAATATTCCCATTTCCCCTTTACTCTTGAATATCTGCAGAATACGAGAGAGGGTAGAAGTTACTACCTCTGTCAAGTAACAAAGCACACAAGGTTCTATATATATATAATTGTCATAATGTCTTGAAGAAGTTGTTGTGTAGCTAACCTTTTTATTTAATGGTCTTGCCTTGAACTGTGGTATATTCTCAAGTTGCTCTTTTTCTAGTTCTTCAGAGCTTTTGATCATCGGTGGACGAGCTCTGAGAGACGTCTGAAGAAGAGGCGATTTTGGTGCTGTAAGGTGATTAGGTTTCCATTGATGGTTCTGCAGTTACCATGATCAATTAGTAATTATGCTTACAAAAAAAGAGAAGAAAAGGAAAAAAAAAAAAAAATTACAGTTGACAACTAAAAAGTATTCCAGCCATACCTGAGTCGCTGTAGATTCTGTCGAGACCACAGTGGATGTTTCTGCATTCTGAATGGCCCTTGACATGGTCTCCAAATGGAATTCCTGTTCAGGTCATGATAAATTTTGGGTTAATCTAAATAACATAATAATGCTTTTACTTTCGTCAAACATCTACCAGCAAGAGAATTTAGTACCTTAAATTCTGGAGGATGCGGAGTGCTTCTCGGCAATGGTGGTAAAGCTGGGCCCTCAAAAATCTGTGCATTGAAGTCACATTATTGTTACATGTCCAAGTAATATATCAGGAAAGACTATATTAGGTTGATGACTCTTTACCTTTTTGTTTAGTGGACGAGCCTTAAACTTGGGGATTTTAGCCATAGCTTCCTCCTCCAGCTCAGCAGAACTTTTAATCTTAGTAGAACGAACCCGCTGTGATGTCTCGAATTCGGGAGTTTTTGGCCTTGTTAAAGTAAGCTTAGACTTTGTTTTCATAGTTCCAGCAGCACCACTCTGAATATTTAAAAATAAAAAAACGTTTTTCTAAATAAATTTAGGCATGCACTGAACATTTTAAGCTTTTCAAAGCCAGACTAGGTAATGGGTGCGAATAAATTACCTGCAAAATAGAACTGCTTCGTGACAGAGACATCTCTCTCGTCCCCGACTGAAATTTCCTCATCATTTCTGCCACTGACACAAATGGCTGTGCTTGTTCTCGAACGTACATCTTCAAATGAACAATGGAATCAAAATTCTAAAAGTGTTTGAAAGATGTATAATATTCAATAAACATGTGTGTCTATTATAGAAAGACTACCTTTCTGTCCTCTTTCTTTGTTTTGATTTTAGCAGTTGAGGAGGGGCAGAGGCTGGAACTGCTACTGACGAGTCCGGTTCTTGTTTTGTGAGGCAGATTTGAAGGCTTACCAATTGTCAGAATCTGAAAAGGAGAAAATTTTCAAAACTATAATAAATTTACAATCACCAAAAAGAAGAACAAGAATCATGACATATTGACATTATTATAGAATATGCACCTGCCGCGATTTTCCATCTTCCAGTTTTTGCCTTTTGATGGCAGGGTTTTCATGGGCGAGGTTGGGAGTTCCAACTAGGCTCTTAGCATTTGTGTCACTGAGGAAGCACAATCCAAGTCTCAGCAGGAATATAATTATGAATAGACCATTAGTTAACCGAGTTGCATGGACAATAATAATATGGTTACAAATTACAGCAGTCTTCTCGTACCTTTTAACACTAGCCGGCTTAGTGATTTTGACTTGTGATTTTGGCAACTTCTTCATTGAGTTCAACTGGGAAGGATTCTTGAGAATGCTGGCTATTCTTTTGGCTGTCTGAGTCTTCTTATTCTCGATCGGCTTTTGTGGGACTGGCGTGCAGCAAACCTCAACTGTTTCCACAGGGAGAGATGAGGGGGCCTTGCCTTCTACAGGGCTGAACATAACCAGAAATGTTTAAGAAAACAAAAATGTCAAATTCTAATAACCTATAAGGCTAACAAATAACAACCTTATTTTTCTCTTAACTGGCAAAATGATAACAATACTTCAAAAAGTCTTCACGAGAAAAAAGAACATACTTCTCAGTTTCTGAGGAGGACTTCGCACTTTCTGGATTGCATTCGACTCCAGCATCCAGTTTCTCATTTCCAGGATTCTGTATTTATCACAAGGATCATGAGAAATATGATAACAATATCAATAATTATATAATGGTAACAATGATATTGTCCTTGTTCAAATTACTAACCTTTTTTAAAGTATTGGACTGGATAAGATCTGGCTGAGCCCTGTTGTGTGGTTCCACTTCTTCAGTAGATTCAGCTGGGATAACTTTGGCCTGGGGTCTGAAACATATAATGAAATTAATTAAAGTTATCTTCTCCAAAATTAATTAATACACCAGATTTCTAACTCAAGCATCCCAACAAAGTCTAAACTGTGAGAAACTCGTACATTTTTTGATCTAGTGAAATTGGTGCTGACTCCTTGGCAGAATTTGATGCACTAGGAGGGGCTTCTTTAGATAATTCTGGTGCCTGTGATAATAAGGAACATTTTTGCTAGTTTGTCACTTAGCCATCGAAAGTTTTACATATATATAAAGAAGATGCAGGGGTGTAGAAATTGTTCACCTTCTGCATTTGCTCGGCTTCATCGAAATTGCAGAGAATCTGATGTTGCACATTTCTGCTAGCCTTGATTCTGGCCATAAATGCTGCAAACCAGAAAAAGAAGGCTAAGCCTTAAAAAACCTCAAGTCAAACCAGACTAGACCTGATAACCCTCTAAACAACAGGAAACATTAAAATACTATTCTGCAAAACACCAACTTTATTCTCGTCCTCATCCTTAATTTAACTTGACAAAACAAAGCCATTTATACATCACTGCAAGTTTGAAATAAACTATTTTTTGGTTGAAGAAAGCAGCTAACCACTGTAGCCATTTAGATAAGAGCGACTAAAACGAAAGAGGGAGAATGTAGGTGCAAGCCAATCTTATTTGCAAATAACTGATGACATGAACTCATGAAAATGAATTTTTGATAAAGACCATTTTCCAGAGTGTCCAGGATTTTCATTAGTTAATATAAGAAGAATAAGTTTGAGAATTTTGATGACTCATGAAAAAAAGAAAGGATTCTTGAACACAAATTTTGTAAGAAATATAACAGTAGTAACACAAATCTTTCCAAATGTCTACCAAGAAACTAAAAGATATGACCAATCCTGAAAAGTAAGTTCAAGAGACATCCATTTCAGACGAGTGATACAAATTGCTGATTCAGGAAAGAAAAACACTCCATAAATTTCCTATGGACTCAGACTGTTAGCTTACTGAAGCGTCTCAAAAAGCCTCAATCCCACATGAAAATAACAGGAAATCAATAATNACTTCGCGATTCCAGTTAATCAACAAGCAAAACCTAATGCGAACACAAGCCCCAACACCTCAATGTCCATCAAACTGCTTAAAAAAACAAGGAATAAGAAGGAGACAATACGCACGTGATGGAGCATAGGGCCGTGCCTTCTCGAACCAGAGCTCCGCCTTACGAACATCATCTTCCGTCTCCGCTCCCAGGAAATCATAAAATTGAGGAGCCGAAAACTCGTATAACTCGTCGACCATGAACAAATTACTGGAAGGCTCCTCGGACGCCGCCATTCAATCGCAGAGAATTACAAAACTATTCCCGTAAAATTGCAGGGAATTAAAATTACACTAATGTATTTATTGATAGATAGTAAAGGGGAAAATAATAGCGCAGGAGTTATGTATGATCTCGACAGTGAGAAGAAGTGAGGGTGGGAGAGAAAGAGGAAGGATATTAACGTTCGGATTTTTTCTAACGGTCCGAATTTTTGAAAGGGGAGCGAGCCTGTGACTGTTAGGAATGTTTCTGTTTGGGGAATTGGCAACGGCTAGCAACCGGGGTAACTTGCACGAAACGTCGCCGTTTTGGTTTACAAATATGGTGTGAATTATTATTTTCACTAAAATAATATTTGGCACTGCTAATACTTTAACTACTTAATTTGATAGAGAAATTAAGGTAGTAATTATATTGATGATAATAGTAAAGAAGCAACTCCATGGCCAAAAGTAGACATATGGAAACAATCTCCACTCCAATTCAAATACGATACATGTACAATTGTACATTATTGTAATTATTCAAATTCATATATGAGCGTTAGTTAATAATTTATACATAAAAAAAAAAGATTTTATTATTTTTTAAAAATAATTATCTTGTTGTTTTTATTTAAAAATATAGCCTTTGTCATTATTATAATAAATTTAAAAAATCCTCATAGACTTGGATAGAATCCAAATCAACATACATAATTTCAATTATAAATCAATGAAAAATTTACACTTACACTTCAAAAACTGTGCATGGAGAATTTTTTAATAAAGCAAATATTTGTTGAGCAGATTCATCTACACTTATTTGGTGAAATATGTTTCGAAATTTTAAATATTCAAGTAGTTAAGACTAATTTGGTTTGAATTGTGTTCTGCATACTATGTTATTTAGGGAATATCTTTATTCTTTTTACCTTATTTTAATCTGCCATTAATAGTTTGTTAAAAATGTTGCCAAATAATGAGCCACAAATATATAAATCTTTTAAAAAAAACAAAAATATAATCTTTTTTTTAAAAAAAAAAAAGAAAAAAAAAAAGAAAACTATCCAACATATAAATTGTGGAACGCAACTTTCCAGACAACACTGTACTGATCATAAACTGATAAGTGATAAGTGAAAGCATTGCCTGATGGCTTCAAAGAAATATATAATGCAAGAAAAAATACTCATTCTACAAACTTTCCAGGTAGTAGTGCAGTAACATACTAACATTTACTAATTCATTTGAACTTAGGAGTTTCCATGAAAATCAACATAATACGATCGTTTATACGGGTTTATTTGATAATATTACGATGTCCTGTTTTTCCACCATTAATATCATCATCATCATCATTTGAAAAATAGTGCCGTAAATCAGCAGACATGAGACCTGAAACAATAATAGTTAGCCCTATATGTTTCAAATTATGTTTTTCTTTGACATGCCCATTCAGTCAAATTCTTCTCAGTAATAAGTTTTCAATTTTAAGTTATTCTCCATTTAAAATAGTGCCGTAAATCAGCAGACATGAGACCTGGAACAATAATAGTTAGCCCTATATGTTTCAAATTATGTTTTTCTTTGACATGTCCATTCGGTCAAATTCTTCTCAGTAAGAAGTTTTCAATTTTAAGTTATTCTTCATTCAAATCTCAGCTTTATGTTTTAATTCTCAATGTAAAACCACAACAAACTATACTTTTGGCATAAATAAGTGGACAATAATATTATTTCTTATAATCTATATTTTAAATACTTATATAAAAAATATTAACTATATTTAAAAGTTAAATTTAAATGAGACAATTAGTTCATATGTTTATGAATATTTTAATAAAAAATATTTCCAAAATAAAGTTGGGTGAATTTAAGAAATATAAAATTTAAATAATATTTTAATTTATAATTTAAATATGTAATGAAATTATAAAATTGTAAAGTGAGTATTAAATAAATAAAATCAAAACGTGAAGCATTAGAAAAAGAAAACTGAACGTGAAGTAATCAAGAAAATGAAAAGTGTACATAAATATTGTTTCAATATTATTATTACGTATTTATATTATTGTCACAGTAATAGTAAACTGTATAAATTTAAAAAATTTACTAATAAAGATATTTANAAAAAAAAAAAAAAGAAAAAAAAAAGATATTTATTATAACCAGTCCACTCGATCTCGACTATATATCAAATAATTGACAAATGCATTAAACTACGTCATAAAGCACGTCTAAAACCCAACCAGGACGAGAATTTAGTTAATCATACTTAAATTGGAGGGGAGTGTGTCGATTTTTCTTTTAGTGGGTTTTCTTCTAACGTCTGTCTGAAGTCTAAACACATCTGTCAAAATTATCAAACACTATAAAAAGAATATAAAATTCCAACACAAAAAATCAGTAAAACATAATATTTTAATAATAACTCATAAGGATATTTAAAAATTATAACTTCCGTTGAAACTTATAGACGCGAACACTAGAATCTATCATTTGAGTTAAATTCTAGTTCGAATTTGATGATTCCAATATGACTTTATCCAATATTTTAATATTGTAAAAAAAATTGTTAGAATACGTAATTTTTGGTAGAATTATTTTTCTTACCAATAAGTTCCGTTGAAAGAATTGAATTATCGTCGAAATCATAACAAATTCAACAAAAATTCCAACGAAAAATCAGTTATTCATTAGAATTTATTAACAGAAGTAATAAACGTTGAAATTACTGCTAGAATTCTGTTGAAATATATTGGTGTTGGAATTTGACAAGTTATATTAATTTTGTGGTAGTAGGCACTCACTTTAAGTGACAAACTATTAACATTGAATTATTTGTATAAAGAATCTTACTTGACGGTTCAAAGTTGGCTAGCCCTTTCCTTTCAGTCAATTCAGCTAATAACAATTTTTATATATATTAATGAAGATTCTACATTAATTAATTTTGTTATGTTTGCTTTGAGACTTTGAAACTAAAGTTTTCAACTATTGCATAAAAAATGTTTCTATAGTACTATTTTAATCATACCAACAATGCATCCACATACATATACTGTTCTCAGAAAAACATTACTACAAACCAAAAAAAAATGCCAAAGAGAGGCAATTTTATTAGGCATACTTATAAGAGAGAAGGTAAAAGTTCACTCAATTCAATAGGTTACTCATACAGCAAATTGGAATCACACAATGTGGCACAACCATATATATGGTCCTCAACAATTAGATATAAATTTGCCACTAAATTTTACTTAGCATAATAACATTATATTAATATTGCCAATGTAGTAGGTTTGACAGAAGAGAGGGAGCTAGCTTGCGTATTATTGCATAATTATAATCGTGTTTTATTAGTACTTAGCATTTTCTTGAACGACGGTGAACTGAATTCTTCCCCGATCATCAATTTGCCCATAACTGGCCGGCGAGCCTTCATTTGCTTGAGAAATATTGCTATTATCGGAAAAATTCTTTCTCCTCCTCTCATTGTGGCCGGCGAGTCGCCTGCGACAGCTTCTTTTGGCTTCGTCAAACTCTGAGAGCTCGTGGAACCTGCAATTAACCACGAGTTGTAGGTACACGAGAAATTAGACGAACAAAAATGTTTAATTTTGGTTTTATATGGAAATATTGGTTTCATATGGTCAGGATATATTCATTTAGTTACCAAAAGATGTTGAGTATGTTTAAATTTAAGAGATGTTGAGTTCTTCACTATTTTATCATATGATTTTGTTCATATATATTTCCAACCATGATTAAAAATTGAAAGTCTATATTTGTTACATGGAAAAAGTAAAAAAAAAAAAATACAAAATATATTTTATTGAAAAGAAATATTTTGAATATTTTTTATTTCCCAATTTTTATAATATACCAAAATACATTATAAATGGTCAAACACAAAGAACCAAGTTTTTTTTCCACACATTTTAGTATGAAGATAATCACATCATATCAATTATGTGAAATATCACTAACTCTCTCTCTCTCTCTCTCTCTCTCTCTCTCTCTCTCTCTCTCTCTCTCTCTCTCTCTCTCTCTCTCTCTCTCTCTCTCTCTCTCTCTCTCTCTCTCTCTCTCTCTCTCTCTCTCTCTCTCTCTCTCTCTCTCTCTCTCTCTCTCTCTCTCTCTCTCTCTCTCTCTCTCTCTCTCTCTCTCTCTCTCTCTCTCTCTCTCTCTCTCTCTCTCTCTCTCTCTCTCTCTCTCTCTCTCTCTCTCTCTCTCTCTCTCTCTCTCTCTCTCTCTCTCTCTCTCTCTCTCTCTCTCTCTCTCTCTCTTATATATATATAAAAGTTTGTATTTACCTGAAATAGTAACTAAAATCCCGCAAAAGAATTTCAATTTTAACTTTATAAGTAAGTTCTTTTTTAAATATTTTTTAAAAGTGGCGACAAATCATTTGAAATTCAAATTAAAAAATCAATGTAATTAATGTACGAAATTATTTTAGTTAAATATTACGGCTATTACCTTTATTAGTTGTATAATTTAAATTTGGTGTGTAAAATATTGACAAAAACTTGCACCTATTACCTTTATTAATTGCATGGTTTAAATTTGGTATATAATATATTGAAAAAAAAAATATTTAAAATTAAAAATTAAATAAACAATTATTTATAACTAACGGGTCAATATTAATTTGGATGTAAAATGTAATAATCAATAGTTTAATAAGTTACTCAACTACTTAAATTTTTTGAGTTAGATAGTTCATACAAAAATAAATTCATATTAATTAATGAAACAATATAAGTTTTATATTTATACTTATTATTCGCATAAGTTTTTAAATATATGATAAAGTTTACCAAAATAATTATTTTATGGAATCACATTATAGTCAAATTGAATTTTTGAATAAAATTTTTGAAATGATACTTATTTTGAAACGAATATAATGTAATTTATCATCGCTATGTGCACCGCACTGGTTGTGCTGATTTTAAATAAACATTTTCATGTAATTTTACCCAATTGAAATTTTATATAACATTTTCAATAAATCAATATAGATAAATTGTATTATATATAGATATCATATTTTCAATTTATAAATATGATTTAATGAAGATTAATTAATAAATATTAATGAATAACTCTTACCCGTGCATTGCACGGAATTCGTACTAGTAAATATCAATTTACCTAGGGTTTATAGGGAAATACACACCTCAAATGAATAAATTAAATAGCTTTTTCCAATAATTTTAGAGTTTACACTGAAAACGCCATTTACTAGCACGATTTTAGAGCGCGCGTAGAACACAGTTCAATCAATTTTAACGAGGTAAACTCGAGCCTTTACGAGCTGAGGTGCAGAAAATTATTAAAAAAAATAAAAATCACTTTCGAGTCTTAACGAATATTTGAGTTGAGTCCGACTCATTAATGAATTGAACTTTACATGAGTTCGAACTCAGTTCGTTTTCAAATAAAATCAAATTCGAACGTTAACGAGTCGAGCTCACGATTTTAATAGCTATATGCCTATGTCAAAAAGAAAATGATAGTGGACAAGTCATGTGAAGTTAATTTAGAAATTGTACCTGTTGGACCAATCCCAACTAGAAAAGAGAATCTACAGTCAGAATTTATGCCGATAAGGGCATATAGACATAGACCCGATCGACATTATTGACCCGGAATTTAGGCCCCTTGTTGTACAAAGTATTTTACTCGTGATTTTCAACAGAACATAATTTAAATCTAATTTTAAAAAAAAAAATTCTAATTTATGGTGTCATTGAGGAATCAAGAATCTAATTGTCATTTACATGGTCAAAATGGACTATAAAATATAGAGATGCTTATCATTTTTAGTCAAAATCATATAATATATCCCTCAAACTTGCAACAAAAGGATTTTCTTGCATGTATTTTCCTCACCTGATTATATATCCGTAAAACCCTTTAAATTTTTAACTAATATGATTTAGTTACTCATGAGCTCAATACTCATGATACCGTCATATGTTTATATAATCCTCAAATGATAGCTTAATTAATTATAAAGCTTCTTTTTTTAATTAAATTGGACTTGGTCACATTAATGGAGAATATGGACCTGACTATTAGCAAATAATTTTTTAATCCGGAAAGATATAATTTAACACACCAATATTAGGTGTGTTAATTCAACTATGAAAAATTCAATTTATGCACTACAGTTTGTGTGTCCTAAATACAATTTCCAAAATATATGTGAAAAAACATGGTTATTTCCTACTTCAATTTTCAAAGAAATGATTAATTAAACAAATTAATTTGGCCTATTTACATTTTCATTAAATAAACCACTACACAAAAATACAAGTCAAACCAAACCAATACAAGGGACACGATACAATGTGCCACATAGTCGAACAAAAAAAACCCAAATATCAGAAAGCAAGATGTAATCAAGTTCATGGGAAAAAAATAAAATAAAATAAAAAATATTCCAGGTCCACGTCAAACATAAATAAAATGTGTTACTTCAAAAAAAAAGTTGAAAATATTATATAAAAATAAATAAGAAAAAACGAAAAAAAAAAGAGGCACGCGCAAAAAAAAAAAGAACCTGCTACATTGCTGGCAGAACCTCTGCCGGATTCCGGCGACGACCACCGCCTGAGCCTTGGCGTGGTGCTCACAAACCCTGTGCCGCCGGTGGTAGGTCTTGGCTTCGCTCAGATCCACGTGGCACCTCTCCACCTGACAGTTCTTCATCGAGCTCCCGCCGCCCCTCTTGGCGGCGGCGGCCGCCCTCTTCCTCCCGCCTCCGTCGGCCCCCATGATATCGTGCTCGATTTCTTCTTGTTCTCCGGCACTAATCGTGTTCTTGTTGTTCATCGTCCTTTTTTCTTTCATGGGCCTATGGTTTCGGTGTTCGGTGCCATTTTTATATATATTGGCCTCCATTATTAATAAAATAATAATTTATCAAGTGAAGAGAGAAAAAGAGAGAGAGAGAGAGAATTTTGAGAGGAAAGGTGGAGAGGGATGTTTGAGGACCACAATCGATCTCCATTGATTTGGGTCCTTTATGATTTTAATTTTCTTTTATTTTTATATTTTAATTTGATTTTCTTTGTTGGTTTGCTCGTTTTTGTATTTACGTGCTATGTGCCGTATAATACGTGGGGATGAGGAATATCAAGAGTAAGGTATCTGAGTTCATGTGTATGTGGGGAAGCTACAAAGCGAGTGATTAGAGGAGATGACATCCATGATAGTGACGTAAGAAGAGATTATCTATCTCATGATCATGATCAGATATTTTAACCTAGCTAGCTAGTTATTATAATGTCTTTAATTATCAATGTCATGTTTTTCTCTAATATTCCATTGATGGTTCATTTCACACTAAGGTGTGGAATTAATATCGTTGAAGAAAGTAGTCCTAGAGCATTTCAGCATTTTTTGACTAGGGCAAAAGATATTTCTATAGCTATGGTAATTATAGCTACGGTAATTACCGTTACAGGGGCAAATTATAGATTTGAGTGTGTAAATTAAATATTTGACAGTTAAAACCTCTAATTTTTTTGTTTGGTAAATAGTAGGGGTGACCATGTGTCGCCATTGTCAGTACGGTTCGGAGATTAAGATATTTATAAAATTGTATTGAAATTCGAAATTACTAAAACTCAATCTCTGGAATATATCAGATCAAATATTGAGATGATTATGTTCGAAGATTTTTATTTTTCGGATCAGTTCGGTATTCGAGATTATCCAACAGCTCGGTTCAGTTTGGAGCTCATGGAATTTATAATTATTATTTTTATTTTTTTGTTTTGCGTGACTAACTAGTTATAAATTTATAATGAAATTTTGATATGCTTTTTATAAAAAATTTTTTTTAAAACAGAAAAAAAAATGTAGATCAAGTATTATTAAGTATAAAATTTAAGTGAAGTTTAATTGTTATTACTATATGTAATTTGATATTTTTAAAATACTAAAATCTCCAGAACCCTATCAATTTTTTTTCGATTCGGTTCGAAAAAAGTTAAACGGTCAACGATTATTTTTGTGCTCGAAATAATTTTTGTTCGGTTCTTTGAACGGTTCGAAATTCTCAGAGTCTCCTGCTCAGCCATGTTAAGCAGTAGATTGAAATAACTTTTCAGTAAAAAAAACTAATTTAAAAAAGCCCAATATATAGGCCTTGTGGTTTGCCTATAGGTGAATAATTGATTGTATCAATGGGCAACTGATAGCGGATTAAAATAGCTGATTCGACTAGCGGACTGTGTTAACAATTTGTTAAAAAAAAAAAACTATTAGGTAAATAACCGTTGGTATAACTATTTTAAAAAAGTTATATTAACATGAATTATCTCTTCTCAAAACGATCATATATTGATTTTTTTTTCTTTTTCTAAGAATTAGCTAGTGTTTAGAAATTAAAATGTTAATCATGCTCTTTAGCAAACAAGCAAGTTAGCCAGTCCTCTAAATGAAATTTAGTCCGCTAGCATCCAAACAAGTCCACAAGTTTTTTTAAATAGAGAAAATAGAGAATTACAATTTTAATTATTTTTACATATCAAACAACTAATTATTTATGAAACACTTCAAACATTGTTAGCTAATCTAAAGTGTCAATAAGATCAATGACTTCTTAATAATTTTTTATTCAACTGTTATTTTATTTTTTTCCCTAGTCCTAAATATTACCATAATCTGATTGAGGAGGGACTTATATTCGTCATCCAAACAAATCTAAAAGTATGCTTGTTCGATCTTGGTGTCACTCCATCTATATAGTTCTTATGGAATAAATAAAAGGGGTGTTCTTTACAAAAAAAGCGTTTGGATCTATTAGGAGAAGTCACTTGCATCACATCATGTGGGTGCTTGCAAAAAGCACATTATATATGCGAAATCTTTGCGAACATTTCTTTAGTAAATTGGTCTTCTTCAAAATCTTATAATTTTTGTTTCTCGAATCTAAGCACAAATTAAATGAATTTGATTTAAGGAAAATAATTTTAATGAAGATACTCTTACCTCTTCTTTATCATGTCCGATAGACATATATGACCAATCAATTATATTATTTTGGACTCTTTTTTTTTTAGCCAAACATCAAATATTATAACATAAAACTCATAATGTACAATCGCATAACTAACGGGTTACAAATAACCCCGAGCAAACAAGTCTTTGCACATGAGATCCCGTAAAGGACCATCGAGGCCACAATGTTCAAGAAAAAAAAGCAAAAACTACAATAAAACAAATTAACACATGATATTGAGGTCACTTTTACCATCCCAATTCAATTGCGATGAGGTCACTCAATGCCCAAAACTCAATAAACGGGTATTTGTTTACTCATTCCTTCATTCTTTGCCAAATAAATTGTCACCATCATACTTTTATCTCCACTTTTTTCTACGACTTGCTAGTGAAGAAAATCTTTTTGCTTGTTAATTTTAACAATAGGATCGTAATAAACAAAAATTTTGACTGGGGTCCTTTTATCACAATTTATGTTACTTATTCGCATACAAACAAACAAAAAAAAAAGTTATCTGCATTGCTGGAAATTTTGCACAGCATCTTATTATTGTGAAAAAATGGTCTTTCTAGTTTTTAGTTATGTGTTATATTCTCTTATCACTAAATTTGACTCATTACTTTGGCATTCTAATCACAAATGGTACAAGATGATGAATTGCAAGATTATGCAATATTTTATTATTATTTTCTCCTAATATTGCTAAATAATGAAAACTAAAACTTATAGAAATGATCTACTAACTTATGAAGACATTAAACCTAATCCATTTTAATAGTATTTTGATCACAATTGCTNCGTCAAATCTTATGTGGCATGATAATGAACTAGCATGGCATGGTGAATACTCGATATGATATGATAAATAAAAGTATTTTCTTTTTCATTTAAACACTAATACAGATAACAAATAAAAAATTTTAAGGAGTAATATCGAACAGCACACTCATATTCTTGCCTTAACTCTCAACCACACATAAACTATAAAATGACACATTAAAGTACACTCTCAATGGCTTCAGTGGAAGACGAATGATATAAAAATTGTTTATTAATTTATCACATCGATCACTCATTAGATTAGATCATTATCATGTCACATAAGATCTTGGTGATTAAAATAAGACCATGTGTGATAAAAATGTCAGCATAATGAATTAAAGTTAATTATATGAAAAATTAGTGGACCATTTATTATATATTTTCGGTTGAAATTTAATTTTTAATTAATAATTAAAAAAGGAAACACAAAATACTGCAAAATCTTATATATGACGTCACGCTAGCATTTTACGTTAGTTACGGTTAATATATTAATATAATGTGAAACGTAACAAACTTTAATTATAAGCCAATGTAACGCAATAATATTTGTGCACGTAGACTAAAATAGAGCACCAATCATACTACTTTCTCTAATTAGAAGTCCCATAGCATGTAATGTAACACGACTGTGGTGCCAAAAATAAAAAATAAAAAAATCATGGGCATATCGAAAAATAGAGAGAAAAAAATAAAAATAAAGAAAAGAATTTTTTTTTTTTAAAAAAAAATGAAATTCACATAGGTTATTCCCGTGAGCGTGGTGGCCCCTTACAGTGAAGGAAATGTTAGGTTGCACCACCCATAAATAACAAGACCTACACCAATGGCTCGTTGTACTTCTCTGATTGGTCCGTCACGAAGCATTTCAGATTTCCTTTCTTGAGTTCTGATGGGTTAGCCAATCAGAGAGCGAAACGTGGTACGGTGAAAACCGCATGTTTGTGTCCTTTTTAAAGTAAAGTAAGGTACCAAGAGCGACCATACAAATTATGAAAATCCAACGAAATTAATTTTTCAAGGTTTTCAGTTGTACTTTGTGATGGTGTTGCTATTATATTTGAGTCTTCACAAAATGCATGGGTCCAGTGAGTGATGTGTAGTACCGCTCGTCGCTCGACAGAACAATTTAAGCATTGTCCAAAAGCGTATTGCCAAATTCTGGTTCTGGTGACTCGGATTAGTTGGGTCCGAATGATAAGGATGCGATTGGATATGGATTTGCTGATTGATTTTTAATTGGTTTTTTTTTTGTTAATTATAATTAATTTTTAAAAAAGTGGTACGATTAATTTAAAATAAAATAATTAAAATTAATTTAATGTAAAAATAGGGGAAATATGATGTGAAGTGATGATTAGTCAAAATTATGTGAGTAGATGAATAGTGAATTAAAGATGTGATGTGTAAGAATGATTAGTTGATATTATTTAATTATATTGACAATATTGATGATATTGAAGTTGAGTTAAAGTTGAGTTTTGATTATTTTTTTTTATTGAATTTATATCCAATCAAATCTTTAGAGCTTTAGGTCGAATTATATTTAATTACATGATATATAAATGGACTCAATTCATCATGATCACGTGCCGAATTGGCCTGACGAACCGGTTTGAAACTAGGGCTGCACACGATATATAATTTAAAATCTAAGAGGTTACTATATAATCGACCTTCTTCTAGCTATTGAAATCATCATCATCCTCAATCGGAGCTAGAATCTTTCCATTGACAAATCCGAGCTTGTTTTCACTCAGAGTGTATAGAGAAAACAAATAATTCATTATTGTAGGAACAACTCTATAGTAATAATATAAAATTTTTAATGAGTTGGATGAAATGAAACATCAAAGTTTCCAGCACAAACTAGTATCAAATATTGATGACAAAGATACTATACTACTCAAATAGAGGTACCATAATGCATAAGCTGTATAATGATCATTCACGAGAAAAAAACAAAATCTAACATATATGATAGATATGAACAACAATAAAGAGATATGGCTACCTTCTTTGTTTTTAGAGTGAATATGAAGAACATTAATATTCAAAATTGATTTCTTAACATAATACGAAAAACAAGATTGTAGGGAAATAATTATGAGTAAAATACGACTCCACATTAAATACACATAGATCGACCACCTTTTTCGCCAGAAAACGGCGAGTTAGGACTTGCCGAAAAAATCAAAATTCACTAGAGAAGACCACCCATCTTTAGTTGGAGTTCGTCCCGTCTTTCGTTGGAGTTCTTCTCGATTGTCTGTCGCCGAAATTCTTCCCGCCAGACGTTCGCTGGAATTATTCTTGTCGCCGGAGAACCTGCAAAAAAAAAAACACTTAAAAAAAGAGAGAAGAGTGGAATATGAGAAAAAAAAATAATAATAATAAAAAATTGTGTGGAATGAAAGAGAATGGAAAAAAAATAAAATATTAAAAAATATAGTAGTGGGGGTTGATGTGGCATTTTTAATTGATTTATGTATTTTTTTTATTGGTAGGGAGTTAAAGTGGAAAAAATTATTATAATTGAGGAGTGTCGTGGGAAAATAAAAATCTAGGGATTGACTGGGAAATTGGAAAAATGTTTGAGAATTTATTGGTAGAAAACTCATATGTATACATAAATACATGTATGTGAGCTATTGTTACATACGTAATAATTTGCAAATTCATGTATATTGCATCTATTTCTTTCTTATAAAAATAAAAATAAAAATTTCTACTTTGTGTGACTGTCAATATATTTTATTACTGTCCTATTTACTAGTAATTAGTAGTAATTAATAATGACAAAACAGCATAATTATCTCTTCCTTAATTTTTCAAAATGAATTAAGATTAACATTTGATTATACTATTTTCTTATGCACATTAAGCAAAATGCAAAATATTTCTTATCCACAATTGAAGATGAAAGAAAAAAAGAATTGAAAAGAAAATTAAAAAATAAAATAAAATGGACAAGTATAGTAAACTCCCGCCTGCCTTCAGATTTCAAAAAACAAATCAACCCACTGTTTTGCGCTTCGTCCTTCCAGGCTTCCACGAACAGCGATGGCCGTCGTCTCGAGAAATTCCGATGAAATCTTCAGTATCTCCTCCACCGTCAACGAAGATCCTCTCTTACCTTGGCTTGGGTATCATTCCCACTCAATTAATTTTTCATACCTGCTTATTTTTCACAAAATTTGTTCGACTGAAGTTTCTCATTTTTTCTCAACCATTTCGAATTCTTACAAATTCAAGGTCCATCCACAAAGCTTTGCAGAATCAGAATTCAACCCAGCTCAGCAATTTTCTAGATTTCGACGTGCTTGTAGCGAATTGTATCCACACCTTCAAGTCGGATCCGCAGTATCGAAATGACATCAGATTTCTCAAGATTTGGTTCCTCTATGTAATTTCCTCTCCTGTACCTTCTAGAATATGTTGAAATTCATCGTATGAACTTTATTATAATTTTTGCCTGCGTTTTGTTTTGATTCAGGGTGGGCTGTGTTTATCGATTTCATGTTCATAGTCTTTGTTTTCTTATTATGTTTTTAACTACAACTAGATGAAGTTACTGTTTTACCTTGTCACTTATTCAATGATGTTTTTAAAGCTTTACAATTATGGGATGCAGTTAACTAGCACTTTACATTTTGATGTTTTGACTAAATATGTAATTTTCTCAGAAAATTTACGCCTTTCTGTATAATTGATAGATGGATGGTAGTTCAGATTATGAAAGGGTGTTTAAAGAAATGGAGGAGCACAGGATCTGTACAAACAAAGCTCTGCTTTACGAATCGTTTGCTTTGTTTCTGGAAGCAAAAGGCAGGTTCATTGACGCCTGTATGATATATCAACTTGGGATCTCAAGGTTCTGAGCAGATGTCCTAATATTGATATTTCTGCATATATTAGTTGAACAAATTCTCCATTCTTCTCACGGAAAAAACGTTTTCTCGCTTCCAGAAATGCTGAGCCTCTGGGGAGACTGAAAAAAGCCCAGGTGCTGTTTCTTGAGAGAATGTCTGAGAGAGTAATCAGTGGTTCATTTCAAAAGGTAATGCTGAAATTTATAGATGTAACTCCCTTAAGATACGGTGAAAGTAGGAAAAAGTGGAACATCATTTCTTGTCCATAATCTTTCATTATTTCCTTTGTTAGTTTCTTTCATATTTCTTTTACAGATAAAAATTGGCGTCTCTGGAGATGGTGGTGAAAATTTTGTTAATCCATGGTCTGTTGCAACTCTAAAAAATCTATTGCAGAGGATGAATTCTCAAGTTGTACAGTATGAGGTGTGTAATCTTGATTGTTCGGTGTTAGATAGATTAAAATCAATGCATAAATTTTTGCTTGATGACTAACGTATGAAAGTTATGCATATATTTGCAGGGATACTATTCAAGTAACAGATCATATCCAGGAAAAGTGTCATTATCCACTTTGCTGAAATCAGCTAGAAATAAAACTGTTGACATAGGTAACTTAACTGCATGATCTTTCACACTTACAGTTGCATCTATTGCAGTCCTCGTTTGATGTCTACCAGTCATCAGTTGATCCGGCATATTTGGAAAATTTGGTGCAATATTTAGGGTAGATAAATTTTAGTTGATGTTTATAAAATTTGGAAGGGGCAAAGCTACAGGATTAAAAAGTTAAAGGGTGTACTCTCTTAATTAGAAGTGAAAAGGCGAAGAGTGGTACTATTCTCTTTGGTCTGACTGTTCATATCCATTATGAGGTAGCATTACAGCAATTTGATAATATTGATAACATGTAAACTGGCCCTTGTTAAAAAATAGACACAAATGAGGTTCTTATGTCACTTTTAGGGAATCTACTGTAGAAAAACATTTACTTCTTTCTTTCATAGTATTAGCTAAAGAGCATAAAAATTGCAAAAGAATATAAAAGAGAAAAATGCATAGTTGATGTTCAAAAATTCATCTGGTTATATGAAAATGTTTGTCATTGTTATGGTGCTATATTTATATGCAAGTTATCCCAGTTCTGAGAAGGCTTGCCTTTTCTACTGCAAGGATGTAGTGAATGATGGCATAAGTTCCATGTAAGAAAATAGCTTTTGGGTCAAATGTTAATAATTTGATAATTTTTTTAGAAGCACATGTTGTGGGTGAGATCGGAAGAAGGCTAACCAGTTTAACATCTGAAATAGCAAAAAGCACAGATTATGCAGTTTATATTGACTATCGACTAATAGCATTAGAAAAATTGTAATTAAGGAATATGAAATTGAAGAACTACCATGCATGTTCACTTTGAATAGTTTAATCGACAAAGAAGGTTCCCCTCTCGACATAATCATTTCATTGTTTACTTGAGTCTGTTTTTTATTTTTCAAGGTGGAGAGAAGTACCAGATCAAAGGGTGTGCAGGTCAGGGTGGATTTGCTCAGGTGTTTAAAGCGTATCTGAACAGCAATCCTGATGAAATTGTTGCCCTTAAGGTAATTATTTTTTGTCCTTATAACCTTCTTGGTTGGACTTCTGTATTAAAGACACGTTGTGAATTGATTCTTGAGCCTTCCAATCTCGGACAGATTCAAAAGCCACCCTTTCCTTGGGAATTTTACATGTATCGTCAGCTTGACTTGAGGATTCCAGAAAAAGAAGTATGTTGATGTTTCAACAATAGTACTGATTTATTTTAGGTCATAAAGCTCTTGCTCATTTATAGTTGCATTTTTCAGAGGAAGAGTTTTGGGTTTGCTCACAGATTACACCTCTACTCTGACTACAGTGTGCTCGTGTCTGATTATATAGCTAATGGGACACTTCAGGTTGGCATGTAATTATTTCATTAGTTATTAAATTAAAAAATTCATCCTCTGCAATAACTTGATGTTAACTTGTGTAGGATGCCATTAACTCGAATGTGGTTACTGGTGGGTCCATGGAAGAGGTGCTATGTATTTATTACACCAAAGAATTGCTTCAAATTCTTGAAACTCTGCATGATGTTGGGATCGTCCACGGTGATTTTAAGCCTGACAATTTGCTCATACGGTATTCCAGGTATTTAATGTTCTTGAATCGACTAGAACCTCTATTAGGTTGACAAGAAAGCTAATTCCTAAACCTGGGGGAGGGTGTTCCGTGTTTGTTCGAATTATGTTCTTTGCTTAATCAGTTAAAACATTTTTGTTTCAGAATTTCTGACCATTTTTTTTCTCAGTTCCAAACCTTTACCAATTATTTAATCCGTATTAATGTCGAAGAATAAATCTACAATAAACAATTGAACGGTTTTTCTGATTGTCTTCCGGAATCAATCTTTCCTCAGGATACTAGTTGTTCACAAGGTTTTAGCTGTAGTTATTTAAGAACATTAGTATCCTCTTGATTTAAGAAGAATTCATGCTGTCCTTCCAAATACCCCTTTTTGTGCGCAAAACAACGTGTATACTTATAAAATCCACTCCCTCTCCTCACACCTCCCCAATCCTTATGTTAAAGTCATGGAGACAGACATATTTTATAAAGAGCAGCAAGACTCCTTTTATTGTCCTTGCAAACAAGTTGCATGGCTTTTATAATGCAAGCTACTTAAACATAACATTAATGAGCTCATTGTCAAAATCATTTCTTGAAAACTCTGAACCAGTGTCAATTTTTCATTACTTGTGTCCCTCAAGGTTCATTTCTGAGGTTGATTACATGTCCGTAAACAGACCAACCCGAAGTCTTTAGTTGTTTCAGTATTTAACAGGCCTCAGTCTTCCTGCTCTTTAGTGTTCAGCCTAGCACATTGACTATCATCATATACAATTACAGGGATGATCCAATAGAAGATGTAGATGAGTTACGCCTTCGAAATGGAACTTGGCGTGATCAGGTAATTTTTCTCTATCTTTCGTGATTAAGTATATTGAGTCTGTATTGCCACATAATCATGTCTTTGTTCTAATCTTTGATTCAGGGCCTATGCCTTGTTGACTGGGGAAGAGGAATCGATCTGAATCTATTTCCAAAGGATACTAAATTCATGGGGGACTGTAGAACTTCTGGCTTCCGTTGCATTGAGATGCAAGAAAAAAAACCTTGGGCATTTCAGGTTATATTGTAATCTTGCTATTTTTTTTTTTTATTTTTTTTTGCATATGATTCTAGTTTATTTATTCATTTGTTTTGTATGCGTGTTTTAACTTGGATATTAGGTGGACACATATGGTCTTTGTGTCATAGTTCATATGATGCTTCATAATTCTTACATGGAGATTGAGAAAACAGCATCTCCTGATGGAAGCTTCTTTTACCAGCCCAAATCACGTTATAAGCGGTTTGTTCTTACTAAGCTTCTTTTACCAGAAAACTAAGTAGTGGAGTTGTGGACCAATTCTTATTAAGCCTATACATAGATACTGTAATTGAGAATCCTAATCATTTTCTTCATGCTTTCTCATATTTCAGATACTGGAATGTCAATCTTTGGAAAAACTTGTTTGAAAGTTTACTGAACTTTGATCCAGCTGAAAATCACATGAAAATGTTGAAATCTTTGAGGGACACTTTCCAGGAATATATGTGCTCAGACCTAAAGCTTATCAAGAAGCTCAAGCAAGTACTTGTGAAGCAGAAAACATCCATGTGTAGAGCTTAAGACATAAGTGTCACTCCTCAGTTTTTTGCATTTACTGTATGTTTCTGATGCTGCACAAATTTCTTTTTTCGTGGTAAGCCTTTCATGTCTTTCATAATTTTCCAATTGAAAATTATAAACACAAATGTTTAGATGCTACTACTTACTAGAGTGTAGGTCATACTAAAATGTAAAATCACATTAAGATGAAGGAATATAATATGCTGGTGATTGCAATTCCGTAACTAATAAAATGTATTGTTGAGATTAATAAAAATGGAACCTTTTCTTGATTTTGTGAAAAAATATATGAATAGTATATGCATTGTTCTAGGTTTTCTGTGAGATACTAGCNTATATGGGATTGAGATGGATCTCTTCATTTGAGATGGTACCTTTTTTTGTTGTGGTTTTATAAGTTAGTATATCTACAAAAGACGCATACAATATTGCAAATAAGCTACTGAACTTTTGACGCAAGATATTGAAGCTTGTGAGTATAGTATTTAATATTTATAATTTGTTATTGATTAAGACTCAAGAAAATTTAGCAGGTATATATTGAAAATATGAAACATAAAATTGAAAAGAAGCTACTGAAGTTTTGAGTAAAATTAGATGATGAAGCCTATAATCGTAGTGTATTCATTTTGTGACTGATTAAAACTCACTAGATACACTAGGTATATACTATGAACCCTAATCTCTTTCCTTTCTATACCATATTATAATTAACTTATTGCATGAAAATCAAATAGGGACTGGACTACAATTCCTGGAGCTCATGTACTTTTCTGTTACTTTGTGTAGTGTACAGGATTTGCCAGTGCCAAACTGGATTTACTGGAGTACTTGATACCTTGACATTATAAATTTTTTTAAATTTGGTAAGCGTTGCCAAATTTGGTAAATTTGTTGAGCAAATCAAAGCCTTAGCCAGTTAGCCTTTGGAAAAAAAAAATAAAAATCAGAGCCTCTTCTGGTAGGTGGAGATTGGTTTAAGGAATTTGAATTGTGGTGTTGTAGGAGTTTGAAATATGTTGATGGATACAGTTATTGTTGATTTGTTTTATACTATTTCACTTGTGTTTGGATTATTCTGTAAGATGGTGCTACTATGGGTCTATTATTAGGTAGCCCCTTGATTTTTTTATTGTGTTTATATTTTTGTTGACTTTTCGGTACACTTACAAGAGTGATGAATAAGGAGATTATACCAAAACCATTTGAGATACCTAACGTTGTAATCTATATTTATAACATGATAATATATAAATAACGCTATCCAAAGATGTTGATTATAAAGTTTATGAAAAAAGATAAGCTATGGAAATGTATGCAACAACCATCATTAAAAAAATTATTGGTGGTTTGACATATTTCTTAAAAAAGATACCCATCATTTTTGTTTTATGTTTCGGATCCTTTAAGAAATCTATTCTATNNNACATTTATCAGAAAAAAAAATAAAAAAAAATTGGCATAAATAAATAACTAGAAGAAACAATTGTGAAAATGTAGCTGTGAAAAATACGCAGACGCCTCGCCAACCATTAACCATGACCAATGGCCCCCAAAAAAAGAAATGACCAATGGCAAACAAGGGATTTGGAGAAATCACAGGGCGAGATCAGTAACTGCAGAAAAAGTTAAAACCCTAGCCCGCATAGACGCACTCTTTTTAAGAAATCCCAGTCAAACTTTTCTTGATCGTCTTCCAGATTTCTGATTCTAGAATCAGACGCTTGATTTTTCTTTCTCGGAACTGCTGACAGGTACCTCGTCTTTGATGTTTACCATTTGCAGGTTTCAGAATTCGTCTCGATTTTCAGATGAATTTTCATTTTCACCTGCTTCGTGCTGTTGTGCCTGTCGATTATTGTTCATAGCTTGATGCTTTTGTCCCATCCTTTGTTATTTCGGGAACATGTTTGGTTAGCTGTTGGATAATCTCTTTACCTTTCATGTTTTGTGGTTGGAAATGTTTTTATTGTTTGAGTAGAGTTGTCATGGGTACGGTGTCGATTATGCTTATGGGGAAATATAGTGTTTTGATTTAATAGGCTTTGGTAGGTAGCTAAGGTGGACAATTGGAAATGCATTCTTGCTATTTTTTGTGAGCCTATTACTGGATTGTCAAGTGAGTGAGACTTGATAGTGTTGAAAACTTCATCTCTGTTCTTTAAAATGAAGTAACACTGTTATATCTGCCTATTTTAGTTTTATTTTGTTCAGGATATTATAATTAGTGAAGGAGATGAGAAATGAATTTTGGATTATCAACCAAGTGTGTGGGCCTGCTCTGGGTGGCTTGTTATAAGAATGTCAAGGCATAGTTTTTACCTTATAAACGAATACAGTTTCAGTTAGATTTTGAACTGGGCATAAATTCCATTTGCTTTTTTCGTTTTTATTTTTTCTTTTGTATAAGTGTAAGTGTGCTTTGTGGAGTTCAAAGTTTGGTAATGAAGAGTTCCTCCACTTTCCAGTAACTATTATCACTTGAAATACGGCAGCATATAATGATTTAAGCGCGTATCTTTGTTAATTTTCATTTTTTGGTTCTGCTCCAGTGGAATTTAGTAAACACAAATACACAATTGCTCTCATGTTTTCTTCCTTCCTCCCAGTGACTCTCCTTATACTTGTATGTACTTAGAAGGGATGGGAACCTTGATTTCTCATGGAGAGAAGAGGGTTCTCTGGGATCCTTTACAGATATCGAGTCTTATCCTGCCTTTTTTATCTGGTATTTTTCACATTTTCTTTCTTTAGGAGTTGTGATGAACTTGAAAATCCACGCTGTTGTCACGATGGGTAACTTTTAAGGTTCTATATCATTGAAATGTGCTATGTTATTTCTGTCCTGGCTATTTTATGTTTTCAAAATTATTTGTTGTTTCAGGCCCACCGTATTGGCCACAAACATGGAGGATGGCTTGCGACATCCATCTGTATTCCAGAAGCTACACAGACAATCATATTTAGTTTCCCCTTTTTCTCCTCAAGCCTACTCCAGAAACACTGGTTTGCACCATTTGAGTGTTGCATATGTTAATGGAGGACTTCATAGTCTCTCCTCACCATCCTTCCGAAGAACTGGCCTGGAAACTGTTCCACAATTCTCATCTTTCCTTATACAGGCTCCAGCCGAGGATGAAAAAGGGTTATCTGGATTTATGGTGGATTTCCTCATGGGAGGTGTTTCTGCTGCCGTATCCAAGACTGCAGCCGCCCCAATTGAGAGAGTAAAACTTTTAATTCAAAATCAGGATGAGATGATCAGAGCTGGTCGGCTGTCTGAACCTTACAAGGGAATTTCAGACTGTTTTGCTAGAACCATTAAGGATGAAGGTATTCTTTCCCTTTGGAGAGGCAACACTGCCAACGTTATCAGATACTTTCCTACTCAGGTTGATGATCTACAGTTTCGTAGTAATAAGTTTTATTGTTTGAATTTCGATCTGCTTATTGTAACCCTTGCGCTTTATAACTGATCAATAATGGCAAGTTTAGTACAATCTATTTTCTGATGATCGAGTGATCAACTGAGTTACTGATGGCTCTGATTGTGTGTGCCTGCAGGCCCTCAACTTTGCATTCAAAGATTACTTCAAGAGACTGTTTAACTTCAAGAAGGACAAGGATGGATACTGGAAATGGTTTGCCGGGAACTTGGCATCTGGTGGTGCTGCTGGTGCCTCATCTCTCCTGTTCGTTTATTCACTTGATTACGCCCGAACACGTTTGGCGAATGATGCTAAGGCAGCAAAAAAGGGTGGAGAGAGACAGTTCAATGGCTTGATTGACGTTTACAGGAAAACGGTTAAATCCGATGGTCTCGTTGGACTTTATCGCGGGTTTAACATTTCTTGTGTTGGGATTATAGTTTATCGTGGGCTCTATTTTGGAATGTACGACTCACTGAAGCCGGTTGTTCTAACTGATACATTGCAGGTATGTATACTAATGAAACTTGATTTATACTGGTATATATACTATAGGTTTACTGTTCACGTCATCTAACTTTATGTTAGATATTCGAGTGTTATGTTGTTATTGATGGGTAGAGTATTTTGATAAATTCATCGGTATATCTTTCCCAATATGTGCTGCTACCACAACTATTTAGCTTAATTGCATTGCATGGAATTAAGGGTCTGTTTGGTAAATATAAATGAAAAGCTAGTTGAGAACCAAAGCTACCAGCAGTAAACTTATGCTTTTATTTTAAGCTGTAAGCTAATTCGCAAAACACTACTATAAAGAAAATAAAATCTTTTATTAAATGTCTCGGGTTATTCATGCACCTCTCTTGTTATTGATACTTTCAGGATAGTTTTCTAGCTAGTTTCTTGCTGGGGTGGGGTATCACCATTGGTGCTGGCCTGGCGTCTTACCCAATCGATACTGTGCGTAGAAGGATGATGATGACATCAGGTGAGGCGGTCAAATACAAGAGCTCGATTGATGCATTTTCCCAGATTGTCAAGAAAGAAGGGACCAAATCGCTCTTTAAAGGTGCTGGGGCCAATATATTGAGGGCTGTTGCAGGTGCTGGTGTGCTGGCTGGATATGATAAATTGCAGGTTCTCGTTTTTGGTAAGAAATATGGATCAGGTGGCGGTGGTTAAATGTCGATAATGGTGAATGTGGTGGGTGATAATGACGAATAAGTGGTCGTTGTTTTTGGTGTTAGTCTTTGTTTATTGGTGCCTTTTTTTCTGGTGAGCTGGAGATTGTTTATAAGTTGATAGTTGCATGAGTTCGTGGAACTTTTAGTACTTTATGTGAGAAATTGTGGAGTTTTTGTTCGCCGAGTGACCACAGTGAGGTATGTTGGATTCTGTTGTGCTTTGTGAAATGATGTTTGTCTTTGCAAAACTTGCATTTCAGCCTCTTGCTGGTGAAATTGTGGGCTGGGTTTTATTTTTTGCGTAAATGCATGCGAAATCGTGTATTTGGAAANAAAAAAAAAAAAAAAAGTTGGTTCCTAGTCTTGTCCAGTTGACTATCAAAAGGCAAAATTAGGCAGGCCGTACAATTGAATTTTAAGAAGTTGAAAAGGAAATTGAACAAATTCAGTTGAATTTGGCCAGTTGACCATTGTATGTAGACTGTAGAGACGCCATACAATGGTGGCGTGCTTATTTAATCCTACGTAGTACGATGCTGCACCTAAATCTGGTAACCTGTGATGTGCGTTTTAATGTTCAATTGTATGCATATTTATTACTATTTTTATAAATAAATAATCTTCTTATATATGATAAATTTCAGCTGAAGAATCAAGTGTGTATCTTTTTATATATGCTAATATGCCCATGATATAGCTAAACATATGAATATTTTGGACTATGATAATTTTGATGTATTATCTGGAGTATATAGCTAAACAAAAGAATATTTTGGACTATGATGATTTTGATGTATTATCTGGACTATCAACATAATCCAATGTATTGTTTTTTATTTATGCCTATCATAATTTTTAAACATATGAATATTGGACTAAAAAATACTAGTAGTTTCCAGAACATATATCTCTATATTGCTATCTCAAACTTCTACACATGGATTTCCAACTGAAAAGTAAATTCTACATCTACCTAAAAAGTCAAAAGTATAATCATGCACTCAAACATATTCAATAGTTTAATACCGTCCTCCATATATATAAATATATTTTTTTTTGGTAATAATTAATTAAAAAGAAGAAAAGAAATATAAAAACTAAAAAAAAACCCTACATAGCTAACCTATCACACCAACCACCACGTTTCCGTATATCTAACCCTCGGATCTCCACAGTACTTAATATCAACGGTCACAAACTTCGACACGTGGTTCCCACTTATCGAGAAACAAGCGGACTGTCTGTGACCACGTGGCAGGTGGAAGTAAAATATCAGAGCCCTCGTCCAATCGCTTTACCCTTTGCTCTGCCACACAACACCACACCACGCTCTCTTCAACTAATCTTCCCGGAGCTCAGTCCCAATTTCCCGCCGGTCGGCACCCATCCCAAAACAACCAAATTAAAAAGAAAAAATAAAAAGAAAATCAAATCACTCTATGACAAAAATCTTTTCGCCGAGACCCCATCACCAATTTTTTCTTCAATTCCCATTTTTCAGTCCGAAATAAAGAAGAGATTTTTCTGTAAAGATTCAGTCGATGGTTGTAGATTGACTGCCCCAAGAGATTTATTTGAGTCTTTATCTGCAATTTTTGAGGTAAAAAACCATTCTTTGAAGAAAAAGAAGACGATGGCCGATTCCGACAACGATTCCGGCGGTCACAGCAACAGCAACGCCAGCAGCCGTGAACAGGACAGGTTCCTTCCAATCGCGAACGTCAGCCGGATCATGAAGAAGGCCCTGCCGGCAAACGCCAAGATCTCCAAAGACGCCAAGGAAACCGTCCAAGAATGCGTCTCCGAGTTCATCAGCTTCGTCACCGGCGAGGCCTCCGACAAGTGCCAGAGGGAGAAGAGGAAGACGATCAACGGGGACGACTTGCTCTGGGCCATGACCACCCTAGGGTTTGAGGAATACGTGGAGCCCCTCAAGGTTTATTTAGCCAAGTACAGGGAGATGGAAGGTGAAAAGAGCTCTTTGGTGGGCGGCAAGGAGGGTGGCGCCGGCGCCGGCGGCAGCAGCGGCTCCGCCGTGAATTCCAGTGGGTATAACAGCGGCGGTATATATGGTGGGGCGGTGATGGGCTATCATCACGGTGGACAGATGTACAGTGCTGGCGGCAGTGGCGGCGGCAGTGGTGGTTCCGGTGGGTTTCAGCATATCGGTGGTGGTGGTGTTGCCGGAAAAGGGAATTCCGGCGGCTATGGGTTGGGTGGTGGATCCACCGGAAGGCCGAGGTAGGTTAATGCCGACAGTGCCTCATTGGCGGAATGAAGTAACCCATCATTTGCCTGATAGATATACCGTGATTTAAGTGAATGGGGCTGATGATTGCTTTTCTTTTTTCCATTTTTTTTTCTTTTAGACTTTTTTTTTCTCCCCATCTCTATATTTTCGTGTTTTCTCGGTTTTTTGGATGGTTCGACTGATCGCTTTTTTGCCAGTGTTCTATTTTTGAGATGGTGGGGATGATGATTTGATGGTGCATAAAGTGATCATAGAAAGGATGTACAATTTGTAACAATTGTGACTGCACAATGTGAAACTCCAAACCCGATTTGTGTTTAATCTGAGTTTCACCGTACTTCTGTGTTAATCTAAAGAGTTTGGATTAGTTCTCCAATTTTTTTCTGGTTCTGGTTATTTAGGCTGTTGGTGATTTGATGTTAGAAAATGTTTTGTGAATGTTGCAAGAACCTTTTTGGTATAGTTCTGTGATATGCTTATTGGAATTAAACTTTCTGCTTGTATTTGCAAGATTTTCATCAAGTATCTGTTTGTTTTGTTACTCTGCTTTGCTGGTCACTGAAATGTAAAATTGGGCCTTGAAACACAAGAGAATTGTTTATTTTTGTGTGGTTTGATTAGAAGATATTCTTTACTTTGAAAGTCCTGTTCTTATCTGGCTCGCCCTGAAACACCGTTCTGTAATTTTCTCTTGTGAAAAGTTCCGTATGCTTTCTTGCGAAGTTTCAGATAAAGTATATATTGAAGGATATGAAATTTGGACATTTTTTGCTCTTACTGGTTTCTTTCCTTAAAACCGATACACTCCCACTTTCATTTGAGGACATTTGATATTTTGATGTGTATGCAACTTAAGAAGGGTTATTTACAGCACATACAATGGAAGCATACAGCATTTCCTCACCTGAAGATCACAAAGATCTTAGTTTGATAAATGTGCATCTCTGACCAGAACCTGCATTTGATAATCTACAGTAACTCACAAAGATCACATGAAAACCTCTTATTTAACCCTACTTTTTTCGAATTTCAGACCCATTTTTTGTTGGTTTGCTTACATATAACTTGAAACAATAATAGAAGATGATACAGTTCTGGCAGGACCAGAAAAAGCAAGTTGTTCTTGGCTTGTATTTTCCCAGGTTTAACTTTCAATCAGTACGCACGGCTAATTAAAAGGGGAAAAAAAACAGTTTTTTCACAAAATACCTTCAAATTCAAGTAAAAGTGATATTTTTACTCTCATCCCTCTTGACTAGTGTTTATCTCCTCCATTTTTCCCACCTTCAGCTGCTTAGAAAACTACATCGAAAGCGAAACAAACTAACAAAGTCCTTTTCCAGCAGAAAAAAGTCCAACCAGTTCTGCTCATTCCTCAGACCACCTTTATACACAGAGCCCCCTCACCACTTCCCATTAAACAGGTAAAACCAAGAAAGAATTCATCGAAACACAATCATATCTCTCCCATCTTCATCAAAACTCATAGGTAAAAAGTCGCTATATATGGTAGTTGCAACAAGTATTCCCACTGAATCACTCCTGCTCAAATTCAAAACACCCCTTTATATACAAACCGAACTAAACCAAACTAACACACCAAAAAATAAAAAATAAAAAAATGTGCAATGGCCTTCGACTTTCCTTCTCTAATAATACCCATCTCCCTCCTCTTCCTAGCCCCCTTCTTCTCCCACTCGACAACCACAAATCCAAAACTCGAGCAAGCTCACACCGCCTTACAAGCCTGGAAACAAGTCATCTTCTCCGACCCCAAAAACCTCACTTCCAACTGGCACGGATCAGACGTCTGCTCCTACACCGGAATCTTCTGCGCCCCACACCCAAACGACACCTCGTCTCTCACCATAGCCGGAATCGACCTCAACCACGGTGACATCGCGGGCCTTCTCCCACTCGAACTCGGCCTCTTAACCGACCTCTCCTTAATCCACATCAACACCAACCGCTTTTGCGGCATTCTCCCCAAAACCTTCACAAACCTCACGCTTCTATTCGAGCTCGACATAAGCAATAACCGCTTTGTGGGGCCCTTCCCAACTGTCGTCCTTTCCCTCCCTTCCCTCCGTTACGTCGACATCCGATTCAACGAGTTCGAGGGCCCACTGCCACCTCAGCTCTTCTCCCGCCAGCTGGACGCCATTTTCGTCAACAACAACCGATTCACCTCTGTTTCTCTGCCGCCGAATCTCGGGTCGAATAGTAAGGCCTCGGTTATCGTGTTTGCTAATAACCGTCTTAATACATGCTTTCCTCCGAGCATAGCGAAACTTGCGGATACGCTTGAAGAGCTGTTGTTGATAAACACGAGCGTTAAAGGTTGCTTGCCGGAGGAAGTGGGCTTGCTGTATAAGCTGAGAGTGTTGGATTTGAGCATTAATGAGATGGTTGGGCCTTTGCCGTACGGGCTTTCGGGCCTGTCGAGGTTGGAAGTGCTCAACGTGGGCCACAATGGGTTCAGTGGGGTTGTGCCGGAAGGGGTGTGTGTGCTGCCGAGTTTGTCCAACTTTACGTTCTCGTATAACTTTTTCTGCGAGGAGCAGGGGCAATGTGGTAATTTGAGCTCGAAGGGGGTGGTGTTTGATGACAGGAGGAACTGTTTGGTGGGGAAGAAGATGCAGAGGAGTAGGAAGGAGTGTGAGGAAGTGAAGCCTGTGGATTGCTTTGAGAATGAGTGCTGTGGGGAGGCTGCTGCTGCTCCTCCTTGNATTAATGGAACTTTGTCTATTAGACCACTTTCATTTGTTGAAGTACATCTTTCTCTATACTAAGTCTATTTTCTATATAGCTTGTATTTTTAAATAAATAAAATAAAATCAAAGCATTATGGATGATTGATGAACTAAATGTTGCTATGACTCGGTCTAGCTGTTTAAGTTCCACGTTCATAAAATATTGAATAATTAATCCGTCACAAGGAATTAGGTGCAAACAAAGAGGCTAAAAACAAGGTACCAAGTTAATTACTCACATATCTTTTTTAAGTCTCCAACAGAAAACTAGTAAACTTAGGAGCAAGAACAGGGCTCAGCTTTTTAAATCCCTTCCAACCTATAGATCTCACAATTCACTTCACTCTTTTTTTTTTCCCATCTTCATTCTTCCCAAAACAATCACAAGAAAAAGAAAAAAAAAAAAAGGAATCCGATCAATCACCATCCAACAAATTTTAGTAGCATGAACCATCTCTCATGGACAATACTTATACTTTGTTTGTCATTCTTCACATTTGTCGTCGCATCACCTTACGGGTCTCGACAAAGTAATCACTATCACGCGGGATTCGTTTCGCCGGGCTCCAAATGTGACGGGATTACGGGTGATTGTACACACGGCCAAGAAAACATGATGGAGTCGGATATAAGCCGGCGTATGTTAGCTCAGTCGGGATATATTAGCTACGGTGCACTGCAGAGGGACAATGTCCCGTGCAGCGTGAGAGGAAATTCGTACTATAACTGCAATTCGCACGAGCGGGCTAATCCGTACGATCGTGGTTGTACTCAGATCACATATTGTGCTAGGAACAATCACTAATCGAGTTTAATTAGCTCGGGTTTGATTAATAATCTATCTGTAGTTTTTTGTTTCTTGAAAATTGAATTCTTATATATAATGCATCTTTGTTATTAGAACTGTACTCTTGAAATAAAGCCTCTGTTTTTTTATGATGGAACACATTTTATTTTCTTTTGCAATTTTTTTAGTTTAAAAGGGAAATTGCATTAGTAAATAAAAATCAAATTTAATTTAAGGTGAACTTCCCCTTCCAAACAACAGAAAATTAATTAATAGCAATTAAAGAAAAAAAATGGAAAAGCGAGCAGGGCATGAAAGGCTCAAACAAAGCCAACAGAAACTGAAACAAGACCGAAAACCGCCAGCCGAGCTAATGAAAAACGAAAATCTGGCGTGGCCGAAGAAGCGTGTGCCGGAGCATGGTAATGCCGTGGAGGCTCGGCCGCTGGATAATTAGACGGTGGCTCGGTTGCAGGGTTTTTCGCCGGAGATGGCGAAGGTGGCCTGACTGGCGGCAATTGCGTGGGGGCTTTGGTGGCGGCTACCGGAGAATGGGGTGGCGACATGCGTGTTGGAACTTTTCCGGCCACCGGAGATGGGGATGCGGAAAGGGACGGGGGGATGCGGAAAGGGACGGTGGCTCGACTGGCGGTGTGGGTCCCGCCGCCGGATAAGGGACGGCGAAATGTGGTGGTTCAACTGGAGATGATGGAGAACTATTATTGCGACGGTTATGATAATGTTGGGAAATGACTACGATTTCGAGTTTCTGCCCCTTCTCGCAGTTTTGGTCGTGGCCGCTTATGAAGAAAAACGGGCCCGATCTTTTTAGCTTGAATTTCGAGTGACCGCCCTTTAGAGTCTTGATGGGGTTTTCCTTGTTGCATTCGGTGTAGTCGTTTTTGTTCACGACGAGAACCGAGTCGTGGCCTTTCTCGTACTTGAAAACTGCACGACAAGAGCAAAAGTGCGTGTTTCGAACCGTGGTGTATGTATTCTATTAAGTAGTATTATTCTAAGAAAAAAAAAATAGAAGATACGATTAAGTTAAGAAAGAGCGTACAAAGTTTGTCGTTAATCTTAAATCGATATCTCTGAGCCCAATGAGTGTAGTTTTCGGAGGGATGAAGACTCCAGCATTCGTCGCCCCCGACGTCTAAAGTATGAGCATTTGATGACCACAAAAAACCAGTCAATATTACCAAGATGATAAAGGTTATTGTAGGTGAGCAAAAATCCATTGCTAAATAAAATTGTGGATTGTATGAAATAGATATTTAGTCTGTTGTTCTTGTTTTTCAAGGGTAAGATGTGAAGGACTTTGAGAGAGAAAAGGAGGCAACTTTGTATTTTGTAAAGCTTAAGAGGAGTGTTGTGAATGTGCACTTGTTTATCTGTATATATGTTGGGTTGAAAAGGTTTCAATGTGATGAATTAGAGTTTTAATGAACTTCAATATTGATGGAGTTTTGGTCTTGGTCTTGCTTTGAAAGCCTTAAAACTTCAAGCTTCAAATGAGATTTAATTAGTTTGTTGGACCGGAAAGAACCCTGGGAAGAATATGAATGTTGCATGTTCTTTTCTTTTAAGATAGAAAATCAATTTCATTTAGGGAATATATGCATGTTAAACTAATTAATTGCATATTTGCTGCCCGTAGGTAAAAGTGTATACATCTTAGTGTCACACTAAGATTAAGATATAAATGTGAGAAAACTGAAAATTGCATTTGCTCAAAATTAGTCCAACTTATTAAATGTGAGAAAACTGAAAAACCATTATTTTCGAGAAAATACTCCTCAAATCCAAGTGAAGGACGTACTCAGAAAATTTTTGTCTAGTTTAAGAATAGCAGCTGTGTTATAATGATAAGGTTTGACAAGTTGTCTTCAGCGCTTTATTTATTCAAAACTATATTAGCATTTGTGGATTTCACATTTGTTCAGGCCGATTCTACAAATTCCTACACTCACGCTTTCCCCAAATTAGTCATGTGAATTTTATTAATTTCTTTCATATTATGTTTTTCTAGGCATCATAGGTGTCAAAATGCCTTGTAAAATTTGAAGTAGTCAGTCTTCTCTGAATATTTTTAGCCAATTCAATTTTCATTAATTCACCTAAGTTCTTCTGGATGCATGGCAGGTAAATCACTTATATTATCCATTTCAAGAGCCATTCAAATGTGCAGTTCCTGACACTGCTCCAGCATGGTGAAATCATGATTGATGAGTCAGTTGCTGGCCTTTAGCCCGAAAGTTTAGAAATGAGGACAGAAGGGAAAATCCAAATCCAAAGCAAAAGAAAGAGACAAAAGTAATTGTAAAGTCTGCCCTTGAGGCTGCCTTTGCAAAATACTCTAATCGGATTGGTCTCAAGAGACGTGTAACAGTTCTGGGTGAGACTGGGGAGATGATTGTTGAAGATATA